CCTTCAGAACGGACAATGCCCCCTTTGAAACTCAATGGGACAAACTGGGATTGTGTATCGAGTATCACTAAAATCTGAATTCCATTACTTTGTATTGGCCTTTCTCATTAGGCCCACTTCTTATTGTCAAAATAGGCAGAAGAGAGCCTCGATGAGAGAAAACTTCACCTGCGCCCAGAGTGATACCCGGGCTCCACATTATCGTGGCACGGGGAGAAGTGTGACCTCCTAGGTAGTATTAAGTCCATACGAGGCAACGCCATGGACGGATCGGATGGCATTGCGTCGAGTGGGTAAATTTTTTTTTGTTTCGCTGACCTGAAACTAATGGGTTCCTAGGCCACGGTGAGCGGCGCGCTCAATTAAGGTTTGTTGGGGCTTTCTTAGTTCCAGCCCCACCGCTGAGGGTTTTTTGCTCGCCATTCAGGGGTATAAGCCTTGTAGTGGGTTATTTCTTGCTTGATTCTCGCATATTTCCCAGCTTCGAGGCGTCGACACAGATCTCGTGTGATTGCGCTATTTGTGGTCTTGGAAACACTGCCCTTGCGAGGGAGTGAAGAATCAAACGTGACCTTCCGGATTACTCTATGGATGAATAAGGCCAGAACGAAAGGGTCGATTTTCCGTCTCGAGGTGGGAAACCGCGGAACGTCTCCATGCAATCTGGCCGACCAGAGCCGGTAGCCATGGTAAACTGAGGGTAACGGTGGGCAACATACTGGCTGGTACCGTGTGCTCAAGACAGAATATCTCAGTCATCGAGAGCCTGTCGGTCAGGAGAACAGAGAAAGTTGTCGCTATGTTTTGCCTTGGTGGATACTGCTATCTTGAGGGCCAGGCGGTTGTGCTCGTAGCGATAGAAATGCCCGACTCTGTACTCTCTGAGTTTAATCACATACTATCATGAGTAGTCATGTTGCTTTCAGCTATGATAGTCCGTGCTATTACAGCACCTGTGTTATCGACTTCTACATACATCACCTGCGTTGCTTCTAATTCGGGTCATATTCTTGCTTCAGACAGTGAAGTCCATGCATAGCGGGCTCGGTCAGATAAGAGAATGTTGCGTTGACTGTTGATGATTGATGAATTCCTGACCACAAGACGCGAGCCCTGTCATAATCGACCGTGATTCTGTGCCTTGACCTGATACAGTACCGAGATTAGGTTAGCTCAGCTAGATGGCCGGGCGTTTGAGGAAAGCTCTCGTTGGAAGCCTCTGTTCTCGGAAGCACCGTCAAACGTTGACCTGGGTTATATCAACGAGATTGATGCGCGGGTTTTCCATGGAGGCAATAATCAAGCTCCAATCTCTCCTCATCTCAAGTGACTCGGCAAAGTATGATGTTCAGTCGGAGGTTGAATCCATTCAATTGGGTGATGGCAGTGCACAATAGGCCCTCGAAGAGTGTCTGTCTGAAGAGTGCCTGTCTGGTAGCTGGGTGAAAGACCTCGCACCAACAAGGTACTCTACCCAGGCTATGTGCAAAGCAGAGCCCGGTTGGGTCAGAAAAGGGTAGGTTTATGGTTCGAACAAGGTGCAAATTCCTAAAGGTGACCAGCCAGGGCTGTGTTCGACTGAAACCACGGCTTCCCTGCTGGTACGCGAACGGTGGAGTGGAGAGAACCGAATTGTTCGTTCGTTTCGACGAATCTTCACCGGGTACCGAAACTTGAACACCCAAATTGAACACCCAAAATCTGCTCTATCACTCTACTACCATCATCATACGGCATCAGTCTTGGTAGGAATCGGCGAACTTGTAGGTGACCGTCTGTTTCTCATCCAAAATGTGGTGGGCCCTTTGAGATGCCGGATCGTGGTCTATTATAACTCGTGCCTGGGGATCTGGATGTCCTGCAGACCAAGGGAAAGGGCAGGTGGAGCTGGTGGAAAAGTATTGAAAAGCTTCACCGGGTGGGCACGGTCAAGTATTCCATTTAACCGTCTTCTTTGGAACGGGTACGCGCCATGAGAAGTTGCGGAACATTGATATCTGTAACATTGCCCGGCTAGTATGGTATTCCTAATCAGGTATAGAGCATCACGCTTGGCATCGAAGTGCGCGGTGTATAAAGTCACCTTCATAGACCCATCAACGGCAGCCAGCTTTCGTGCGACAGTGTCCCGTCTTCTAACCATCCTCTTTCTTGAAGCATTGTAAGGGATTGCCATAGATGTGACTTTCCATTTCCTACGCTACCCTAGTCCTCCTACTGGAGTGAGAAGGCTGACCGGGTTTGAGGCCGAGTCGACACCTCCAGGCCCAGTGAGGATAAGGTAATATTGGGACAGGAGATATTTCAACAGTACACCCGAGCGTTTCTTACAGATACTAGTTTGCTTAAGTGGGAGTTGCAGCAAGCCTGCGTACCCACCAAATGACAACAAGTGCTCTTTTTGACTTGTTGCCACGAGCTATGGTTTAGGAGGTGCTTCTACAGGTAAGCGACCAATTTTCTATAGATTTTTGGTTCTTTTTAAAGATTGGGCAGGATGCATCCTCCGCGATTCCGGCCGGGAACATATTCTGGTTTTTCTCCCGAGATTGGCCAATGGAATTCTTACTGCACAGCTTCTTCTCCACCGATTCTGAAACGGCATGCTCATGTTCTCTCCTGCAATCTGTGTATACCAGTCCGGACCTCTTCTTCCCTTGTCCAGGCGAATTCGTGTGTTCGTGATTCGACGCAATCTGCTGTTAGATTGGGAGTCCAAACACCTGCCCGAAGTAGGCAGAAAGATTCGGCTTATCGAGTTTAGAAGCGCCGACTTTAGAGGGACATCCATTACGGTGTCACACCCCACTGCCATCTGATCGGCTCCGTCGTTTGACGGGAAGCGGGTGAGTAATATCGGATAAATGCAGACCAGTGTTTCTCCTAACGAGCACGCGTGATAGGTTGCGTCTCCGCTTTACGCGTGTCCACCTCAACTACGGTCCCAAAATCCAGACTTGCTATAATTTTAAGCATGTTGAAAAAGGATATGGGCTGACTGTTTGCCTCGTCGTTGTGCGCTCTGCCCTGGGAGATGATCACGGCACTCACCCAGATGCTATGGATATGGCTGTTGAACACAAGCAATCTGGTGAGCCAGAGGAACGAAATGATGATACGTTTTTCTTGCAATCGATGTCCAAGTGGGAGTGCGGTTGTGGTCTGCTTGAGAAGCCAAAAACATCGCTGACCGCTCCTATAGGACGATTTCTCTACTGCCAAAGGTAATTCTGATCCTCTGCTGCACGGTACCGATAAGGTGGAACATCCTTCTGCAATATAGCCGGTAGAAGGGCGATATAATCTGACGTCTACTCCGCGCAAGCTAGCGAGAAATGTGGGCGAATCTGTCCCCGTGCGTCCAGAACACCCAGGAAGGACCTGGTGGCGGCTGCGTAAAGGACGTGCGAATTGTCCCTAGACAGCCATAGCCGAAGCCAGTTTCCATATCAATGCGCCCTGGGCATAGGAGAGCGTTATCCAGCTGGTTGATGACGTTGGTGGTCATGACCAAGATGTGGCCTCCCCGCGCAGTTACGTCATGAGTACTGTTAAGCAAAGCAGACACAGCGGCCCCGTTGGAGGATATTTCCAACTGTCCGCTTCCATTTCACCGTCCTGTTCACCTTTGGAAGTCCCGCGGATGTTGTCGGGAACGTGATACCGACGTGCCTATGACAAAGTGACTCAAACACTATGGCCAGATCATGTTTCTCAATGCTCACCGCTACTAGCCTCTACCACGAGAGCAACGGGTAGGCGTTGGTCCCCACTTGATGTTCATCCACTGACGAGAGAGGCCCCCACACTATTCGGGACCCCAAGCGATAGCATGGAATGAATTGGCTGCCAAGTGTATCGGCGAGCGAAATCCACAGTAAGCAGGCACCTTCGCGGTGTAAAATAGACGGGGAATTACGGACTTTTCTCCACTTGTCGATGAGATCCAATGGGTAATGACTGTGTGGTGTCGAACCCTCAAAGGCTAGATTATACAGTAGCGCCGTT